ATAAAAAAATAAATGAAAAAATCGATCGAGGTAGTACCAGCCATATTTTTCTTTTTCTTTCTCCATTTATTATTATCATCATTATTATTATTTTTTTTTTTTTTCTTTTTTTTTCCATCTCTTTTACTCATATCTACAAATATATATACACGTAGTTATATATTTATTATCTTATACATACATACATACATACATACATACATACACACACGCATACACGCAAATATACATAGATACATATATACGTATTACATGCGAATAAAATATCTATTATTTTATCAAGTTCGAAGGATCGTCGTTTTTTGATGATGATTTGCAAATGAAGAAAAAAAAAGAAAAAGAAAAAAAAAGAAAAAAGAAAGAAAGAAAAAAAAGAAAAGAAGAAAAAAAAATCGTTTATCGCGTAAAAATTGAAAAGAGCGTACAATGCGTTCACGAATAATAATGAACGATAACGAGAGAAGGAGTTGATGGTTGAGAAGAAGAAGGTGGAGGAGGAGAAGGAACATGAGATTCTTGGACGACGCTCAGAAAAAGGAATCTTTCGTTCAACTTTCTCCCACCTCAGCTCATTTCACCCCATCCCATCCCAAATCCCATTCCCATCTGACCTCCTTCCTTTCGCATCTTACGCGTTAGTCGAGGTCAGGAACAAACAAACGACTACGGGCTTCCTTCTTTACCACACACGTGTCGCGCTTTCTTAACATCCGGAGACGACGATCCCCTCCCCCCTGCTCCTCCCCATCCCTCCCCACTGTTCTCCTTTCACTCGAGACGGATCTTCTTTACCCTCTAAAAAAAGAACAGAAAAGAAAAAAAAAAAAAGAGCCCTTCGTCTCTTTTCGATACCACGGATCAGAGACAGATAACACACGGAGAGATTATCTGATTGTATTGTCGAAGTAAGTTACATTTACATCTGTGAAAATTTTCTTATCACCCTCCTTCCTCCCACTCTTCCTTCACCTTCCACCCTCCCCTCTTCACAAATATGTATATATATATATATATATCATTCTTTTCTCTGCATATATATTTAAATGATAAGACGACATAAGATGACATTTTTGTAAAAATAAAAAATAAAAAGAGAAAAGAGGAAGTTACACTTTCTTCGTCTCTCTTTCGTTAATAATAGTATCCATAAAAGTGAGAGAGGAAAAAAAGATTAAGGAGGTGGGAGCATTGAATCTACCTAGTTACTCATGGATTATATTTTTATTTTATCGATGGGGTAAAGGTAAAAGAGGGAAGGGGTGAGTACGTGTACATGTATATACATATATATATATGTGTGTGTGTATATGTGTATCTCTTTCGTCTGAATAACTTGTTACCTACAATACTTTTGACCCTTTTCTCTTTCGTACTTTTTTCTTTTTTTTTTTTTTTTTTTTTATACTCTTCCCGCGTTATATTTATGTTGATCGATCGTTTATACGAGAAAGAGAGATAGATAGAGAAAGAGAGAGAGAGAGAGAGAGAGAGAGAAATTTGCTTCGTTCGTATGTAAATAAATTTCTATTACATTCGACGTAGCAGAACGACGGGCCCGACAACCATAAGGAAGAAGAGAGGGTGGTAATGTACATATGTAGTGGAGGTGGTGATGGTGATGTTGGTGGCAGTAGTAGTGGAGGAGGACGAGGTGGAGAAGGTTGAGCTGAAGGAAAGGAAGTGGTGGTGGTGGTGGTGGTGGTGGTGGTGGTGGTGTTGGTGGTGGAGGTGAAGGTGGAGGTGGAGGGAGGAGGGCGTCGTGCATCGTTTTAACTTCGACCGAGGTGGTTCTACGCGCATAGCAACCAGCGGGTTTTAGCACTATAAATAAAAGGCGGATACGCGTTTATCGAAAGAGGAAGAAAGTACGTATTTACGTACGTACGTACATACATACATACATACATACATACATACATACATACATACATACATACATACATACATACATACATACATACATACATACATACCTACATACATACATACATACATACATACATACATACCTACATACATACATACATACATACATACATACATACATACATACATACATACCTACATACATACATACATACATACATACATACATACCTACATACATACATACATACATACATACATACATACATACATACATACATACATACATACATACGTAGTATAGTTTTCGCAGGCTCGACCGACCGATCTTGAAGCTTTTCAATGTGCTTTAACATAACAGGGGTGGTTGATCGAAGATCGCTTCTTTTCTAATTCTTTTTTTCTTTTTCTTCTTTTTTTTTTTCTTTTTTTTTCTTTTCTTTTCTTTCTTTCTTTTTTTTTTTTTCCTTCAAACTTTGTAACATTATAAAAGTGCACGAGGAATAAATATAGGGATAAATAGAAGAACGTATTATTGGATAATTCTAACTTAATGTCTTCCTCGTACGTGAAAGTACTTAGAAAACGCTATTATATAGCGAATGAGAAAATTAGATCACGATTTGGATATAAGTGATATTGTTTTATATTTTTTTATCAATTATTTCTCTTTGGCAAATGCTTTATTTTTTTATTTTTTTTTTTTTTATTTATTTATTTATTTATTTATCTTTCTTTGTTTGTTATTGTTTTTATTATTTTTTTCCCTTCTTTCTTTGTCTCCTTTCTTTTTCATTTTCGAACCTTTCAAAAGTCTCCTCGTATAGAACGAAAAATAAATAATAGAAGAAATTTCGCGTGAAAACAATCGTTTTATCGAAAGGCTACATTGTTCGCATTGTCTCTTCGAATTTTTTTTTTTTTTTTGCATAATTATCTTTAGATTACGTAATAATCGATAAAGATAAATGACACGAATGATAATTTCCTCTTTCAAAAAATAATACCAAGAATACGTAAAGCTGGAAAGGACGCTTTTTTTTTTTTTTTTATTACTTTTTTTTGTTTTTTCTTCTTTTGCTTTTTTTTTTTTTTTTTTTTTTGCTACAACCGTAACATACTTCGCGTTTATCCTATTAAATATTTATAATAATTAATAAAAATTCGTTATCGTTATCTAAGTATTATCGTGAAGATTTTGTCGAATTTTCAAAATTTTCAATGGTCCTTTCGAGTTCTTCCCGGCTTCGTGGCCGAATAATTCTCCCTCCTATTGGAAGCGTGCAAGCACAAGCATGCAAAGGAAAATATCGTCGAGAAAGAGAGCGTTTATGAATTCGGAGCACGTTTCCATTGGGAAAGATCTTGTGCGTCTCGAAAAACGTTGCCAGGTTCGGGCACGTTTGTCGCTTATTCGCGGCATTATTTGTACGATGTCCCACTTCGAAAATTCGAATTCGAACGGATCGAGCGAGCAGGGTAAAGAGGGAGGGATCGAGTTTGATGTAGGTGAGATGGTAAAGGGGATTTTAAAACGTTTGAACATGTGTTCAAACAGACACGTAAATATAATATATTTTGGTGCATTTAATTACGTTAGAACGCATCCATTTACTATCAGATTTGTATCTTAGATTTTTCCTACGAATAAATAACAATAATAATAATAATAATAATAATAATAATAATAATAATAATAATAATAATAATAATAATAATAATAATAATAATAATAATAATAATGATAAATAGATAAATAAAAAGAAAAAAAATATATATACTAATAAGTAAATAATTACAAAAATATATAATAATAAAAATACATTTAATACGTATATGTATATATTTACATGTGTGCGCGCGCGCCTGTGTATATGTTTACATATTTTCTCCTACAGATTGTTGTACGTTCAGTAAAAAAAAAAAAAAAAAAAAAAAAATCATTCCATTTAATAACGATTTTATTTGTCGATTTAGATTTTATTTTATTAATAACAAAACTCGAAAAGAAAAAAAAAAAAAAAAAAAAAAAAAAAAACGTTCTTCGATTGTGCAATAAAATAACTTGCGTTAACTTTAAACGAACAACAAAGTCGTTTATCCATTTCGTGTGCATCGTTTTTTTGCGAGAGATAAAATTGGAATTTTTTTCTCTCTCTCTTTTTTTTTTTCGTTTGCTTTTTTTTTCTCCCCTAATTTCCGCACACGAGAGAGTGTGTGTGTGTGTGTGTGTGTGTGTGTGCGTGGGGAGGGAGCGGGGGGGGGCGGAAGGTGGGAAAAAAATGTCGTTTGGAATTTAAGTATATTTCCTACGAGTGAAAATATTTGCCCGGGTTATACTATTATCGTGTGTTTAAATGTCCCGTTGTATTTTACTTCCTGAAATAATAGAAAAATTCCGTTCGTGCGTTAAAGTTTCGAAACGAACGAGACTCGATCGTTAAAGTCCTAGAGAGAAGAGAGAGATGGGGGTGATTTGAAGGGGGAAGGGGGAGGTAGAGGGAGGTGGTGGAGAGGACAGGGAGGGTTGGGGACGCAGGATTGGAAAAAGAGAGAAACCTAACCGCCGGACAATTTCAATTAATTTTTGCAATTTACTTTTTCAAATTTCTCACGTTAATACGCGATTTCTTTTCTATTTGTCTGTCCTTTTTCCCTTTCTTCATGTATATATATAATACATATATCTTCTTTTTTTTTTTTTTTTTTATGCACGTAGACAAATATTATCACTACAATCGTGTTCGTACGCACGCGTGAAAACGATCTCTCTCTCTCTCTCTCTTGTTTTTTTTTTCTTTTTTTTTTTTTTTTTTTTTAGAAATACTCTCTTAATATATATCAGACATTAGATGAAATTTTAATCGAATTCGTCGGACGATAATTCGGTTTTTTTTCATTTGAAAAATCTTTTTTTATAGATACTCTGCCTTAAAAGACTTTCGCCATTGCTTGTGAATTAAATGCACCTTTTCATTTTTTAAACAATTTCTTCTTTCTTTCTTTCTTTCTTTCTTTTCTTTTTTTTCTCCTTTTTATTTTTTCTTTTTGTACTCTTATCCGCAAAAACAATATTCCAGATAAACGTCAGATTATAATTATCTTTTATATTATTATTATCCTTTCTGTTGCAGACTAACGGAACGTTCCCGAAACGGCCATCG